GAGGGGAGGGAGAGGGGGAGAAGGGGAGAGAGAGAAAGAGAGACAATGAATGAACAAGAATGGGATACTACCTGGCCATAAAAAAGAACTAAAATCACGTTCATATGCAGCCACATGGATGGAACTGGAGGTTATTAGTGAAATATAAGCCAGGCACAGAAAGACAAACAGTGCATGTTCTCACATATATGTGGGAGGAAAAAAAAAAAGTTAATCTCATAGAGTTACAGAGTAGGATGATAGACACAATAGACATTAGAGACTGGAAAGGGTGTATCAGTGGGATGTGGGGATGAAGAGAGGTTAATGGGTACAAACACAGCAAAGAGGAATAAGAGGCAATGTTTAATAGCAAAGTAGGGTAGTTAACAACATACTATTTCAAAATAGCTGGAAGAGAGGATGTGAAATGTTCCCAACACACAGAAATGAAAAATATTCAGTGATGGATACTCTGAATACCCTGACTTGATCATCACACAGTCTATGCATATAATAAAGCATCATGTATTCCTCATAAATACATAAATATGCACAAATATTATGTATTAATTTAAAAATTAGACATTTTCTTGTACAAAACACCCTGTGAAGAGGATGAAAGGAAAAGCTTCAAACTGAGAGAAAATATTTGCAAACCACATATCCAACAAAGTATCTAAAATACATAAAGGACATTTAAAACACAACAATAAAAAAGCAAACAAGCCAATTAGAACATGGGCAGAAAACATGAACAGAAATTTCATTGAAAAGGACTTACAGATGGCAAATAAGCACAGGAAACAATGTTCAACATCATTAGTAATCAGGGAAATCCAAATTAAAACCACAATATAGCAACACACCTACCAGAATGGCCAAAATAAAAAATAATGACAATACCAAATGCCGGTAAGAATGCAGAGGAATGTAAAATGGTACAGTCACTCTGGAAAGCAATTTAGTGCTTTCTACAAAATAAACATGCAATAACCATACAACCCAGTAACTGCACTCCTGGACATTTATCCCAGGGATAACAAAAATTCATGTTCACACGAACATCTGTACAAGAATGTTCACGGCAGCTTTATTTGCAATAGCCAAGAAATGGAAACAACCCAAATGTCCATCAGCATCTAAAAGGAACAAACTAAGTGGGATATGTAAAAATCTAGATAAATCTCCAGAAAATTGTGCTGAGTAAAAAAAGTCAATTCTAAAAGGTTGTATAACATTTGATTCCAGTTATGTAAGATTTTAGAAATGTCAAAACTTAAGAAATGAATATCAAATTAGTGGATGCCAGAAAGTATGCCTAGGGGGCCAGAGCAGGGTGGGATGGAAATTGGCATGGTTAAAAAGGGTAACAGGAAGGATCCCAGGGTAACAGAACACCAAGTCAGTGTCTTGACTATGGCGGTAGGTACATGAACCAACACATGTGATAAAGTATATGGAATACATGCAACAAAGAAATGAATACTACTAAAACTGAGGAAATCTGAATAGATTGATATATTGTATCAGTGTCAATATCCTGGTTGTGATACAGTGCTATAGTTTTACAATATAGATAAATTCATAGGTTACAAAAACAACTTTGTTATTGGAGGAAACTGGGTAAATGGTACCTGTAATCTCTTTGTATTATTTCTTACCACTGCATGAAAATCTACAATTATCTCAATAAAAATTCCAATTAAAACTAAAAGATAATTCAATACAGATATACATTCTCATGGAAGAATCCCTGTAACAACAGTAAGAGCAGTTTTAAGAACACACTAGCAGAAATATGACTGCCAAAGAGCAATCTAAAAAGCAGAAAGTCTGTGAGAATCCACCTCCTTGTTTCTGAGAAGTTTTAATATCGATCACAGAAAAGACAATAACCCAAGGCATATCCAAGGTACCAAGATCTCAGTTATCCAGAAGAACATATACAATGCTCAATAAGGATTGATTTGTGCTAAAACTATATCCTAAATTATTGCTAAGACTACTCTAAAGTTTAATTGGAAAAAAAAAATGTAAGTAACAGATTTAAGCATCTGCTAGAAGCAGAAACACATTCTCATGTTTTATAATTCATTCATCCATTTGACAAACGTTTATGCAACACCTTCTTTGAACAAAGGCCTGGGCTAGGGAAAGGTTACTCCGGCACTCTCACCTCCCACCACCCGGCCTTGAGCCTGCTCTCAAGCATCTTCCCAAATAGGAGGGGAGATCAGATAAAAAAAACTGATACCTAATTTTATTGAGAACACAAAGCAGTTTCTGATCCAATACAATTAAATGTTTTTTGATTTATCCACAGATGACAGAGTGTGGTGACAAGGGTTATGATAATGTTAGAAATTTTAGTTTTCTTTTCATAGTGGTTATCATCACAGTAACTATAAAAATGCAATACAAACTATAAAAAATGCAAGTAATAAACAGTGGCTTATATACCCTTTCTAGACCACTCCAGAAACAAACCCATGTAAAACAAAAATGCTAGTCTTTAAAACAAGCCAAATGAGGGCATAAAAAGACCAGCTAAGTGTCTCTAACCAAATCATTTTTTAGTATATACCCCCTTCAATGACACAAAATCTGTGACATTCCCTAACAAATCCAAAGCACTTTACACTTTGTAAAGCAGCCATAATGGATGACTGCAAAATTCCTTAAGAATCTGTTTCATTACTCCTCTCAAATCAAATGAAGGGTCTCCAAAAGGACAGAGCCAAAGCCCAATAAGGATTAACAAGGGCTTTAAAAGCAGCTCAGCTGACATCTTTAGATTCTCATAGTGGACAAAGCAGAACAAGTAAGCTGTATCAACTGAGTTAAGATTATGTATCTATTGGGTACGCTTTACCTTTCAACTGTTAACAGGATTCTTTGATGTCTGCCATCAAATAGTAATTCAGGATTTGTGATTCTTAAATACACAAATCAGGCTATTCTCTATTTACTTACTGTCTAAGACTATTGACTCTTAGCTATAAAATTACTATTAACTGTCATAATATAAAAAAGGTCCAATATGTTCTCTCAAAATAACATCTTCCTAGAGTCAAATACAAATTGAACTTACCACTTTTTTAAAATCATCTTCTGCTTCATCAAGTTTTCCTTGTTTGAGTAATAAGTGACCTCTCTGTAATCTTGCCTAGAAAAAAAGGGGGCAGGGAATTATCTTGAATATTATAGATTTCTAAATCTTTTTAAACACTAAGAATAAAACTAAATAAACAAATTATTAATATTTATTTTTCCAATTGCACATCTGACTTGACACCAAGAATAATTCCTGGAACCAATGAATGTGTATAATTTTTCTTAAAGTATGCTTCCTCAAAAATACTTTTGTTCTACCCAAGAAAACTGAAAAGATGTCCACACAAAAAGTTGTACATGTATGTTCACAATGATAGCCAAAAAGTGGAAATAACCAAATTCCCATCAACTAAATCAATATATAAATATATCCATACAACAGTATTCAGCCATAAAAAGGAATGATATATTGACATGTGCTACATGAATGAACCTTGAAAACATTATGCTAAGTGAAAGAAGTCAGACACAAAAGGCCAAACAGTATACGATGTTATAGTATATGAAACAAACGTCTAAGTGGTTGCCAGGAGCTAGGGAAGCAATGGGGAGTGACCGCTAATAGGTACAGGGCTTCTTTGGGGGGTGATAAAAGTGTCTTACAAGTAGCTAGTGGTGACCACTGCACAACCTGTAAATATACTAAAAACCAATGAATACTTTTAAAGGGTAAGTGTGATGGCATATAAATTATATCTCAATTTTTAAAAATACTTTTTGCCCTACAATAAAAGTTGCGTATGTTGGGACTTTACCAAAGCCTCTTCCCTTTTAACATGCATCAGTTTCTCCCCCTTCATCTGATATTCCTCTTCTTCTAATGTGTATAATCCCATTTCTTTCAAGAATACCAACTCTGTATGACCAATGAAGCCACACCAATATTCCACTTAACCCTATATACATTACTTTTACAGTACATAAAATTTTCCTAACCCTGTTAAATCCATCAATACAATAAAAAGCAAGATTAAACTATCATAAAAAGCCATTTCAGCTATCATAATACTAAGAAAATGAGCCATTTAACCTTTGTGAAAGGTTGTGCTTGCTTAGCTGTTTAAGATAAATCTGAAAAATATTTGAGATTTGGGAATTCCATCTTAAAATATTAGTAATATCTCAAATCAAACATTCACCCCATATCTAATCAGTTATCTCAAATCCTTCTCAAAATACAGTAGGAAATAAATAATAAATGGTTATCAAATTAATTCTGAAACCATCTAATTGGTCAGTGGTTGTCAATTCTGCCTCTAAAAGCCCCACCTGAGTTCTACCTCATGAGTCCCTCCCTGTTCACATGTCTGTCACAACCTTTATGGTGACCTGCCAATCATCAGGATTTCCTACTAGGCTACAAGTTTCTCCATGCCTGAAGCTTGTGGATTGGTTCCAGGGGATGTCTCTGCTAATTTAGCATTTTATTGTCACCACAAATCACAGCCCAATTAAGTAATCCCCACTTTACTCTTCCTGGTACAGCCTTAAGTAGAACTGCCGTCAGTCACCTGATAGCCTCTTAATTCAGCCTCTTCATCAACTCATGTCTCAGTCTCACATCTTGCCTCACACTCCATCCTCCATACAGATTTGTCTTTCTAAACCACAAAGCTGACATCACTGCCAGACTTCAGAAAAAAAAACATCTAATGTACCCGCTGTTCTCCTTCACACAGATGTTTGATTCTAGGGACTTTGAATTTCTCTTGTTCCTCAGTCCACTATATCACTGTAGCTTTGATCTCTTCCAGCTATGTCTAGCATGCTAGTCCTCACCTTATGAAACAAATTAACTCTAACCAAGTTCTGTTAAGTTCCCTTTTAAAGAAAGTTTAGATATACTTACTGCAGTGAAGTCCATCTTCAACTGAATCACTTTAGTTAAATCAGGAAGTGCAGCTTTTGATTTACCCATAGCTAAAAAGACAGTAGCCCTCCGATAATAAGCAATATAGTTATCAGGGTCACCATCTGAAAATTAAAATATTACCTCTTAGTCATTTATTCAAAAATTAAAAAAAAAAAAAAACAAATCACCTGGACAGTATCAGCATTCGCAACTCTACTAAGACGGACATTAAGAAAAGAATCTCATCATCAAAAAGAAGTCATGTTGCCCAGCAAGATCAGTGCAAACAGACCTAGATTAGGGGTCAGCCAACTATAGCCCGAGTCACATCCAACCAGCAGACTTAAGAATGTTTTTCACATTTCTTAAAAGTTGCCCAAAAAAAGAAAGAACAAAAGAAAAATATAAGACTGTGGCTGCAAAGCTCAAAATACTTGTCTAGCCCTTTAGAAAAAAAGTTTGCAAACCCCTGGTCTAGAATATTAACTATATTCAATTTATAACCTTTTTCTAGGGGGGGTGGGGGACAAGGTCTCTGTCACCTAGGCTGGAGTGCAGTGGCATGATCATGGCCCTCTGCAGCCTTGATCTCCCACGCTCAAGCAATCCTGTCACCTCAGCCTTCTGAGAGGCTGGGACAACAGGCGTATTCCACCACAGCCAGCTAATTTTTTTTTTTTAATTTTTTTGTAGAGAGTCTCACCATGTTGTCCAAGCTGGTCTTGAACTCCTGGCTCCAGCAACCCTCCTACCTCAGCTTCCCAAAATGCTGGGATTACAGGCATGAGCCACTGCACCCAGCGTCAACCCATAACTTTTATAAGTATGCAATTCAGTTTGTCTCTGCGGAGATTTTTCTAAGTGAAATACTAAGAATGTGGACTACGCACATTAGTGTACAGGGTTTTAGAAATGTATAAACCTCTGACTAAATTGATATATTGAATGTATAATCTCTGCTCCCTCACAAACTCCAACTAGAATGGAGGTGAAGAAATAAAGGTACAAGGACAAAGGAGGAGAACAGAAATGAGAGAGACTAGAGAAAGGGACTAGAAAAGTTAACATTTGTAAGGAACGCAGAAAGATGAATTAGGTTTCTCAGCTAATTTTACTCTGCTTATTAGCACCTACAAACTAGAGAAAAGAGTGGATTCAATCAGAAGCAAATCTTCTGCAGAACAATCCTTCTAAAACACAATTTGGAAATATAAGTATATAAAGAATTCTAAAACTAACCTTGACAAAAGCCGGCCATCAATCTTTTAAAAATAAAAGATTTATCTGCTCAGGTGTTCATCATCATAAGATACACAATTAACCTCCCTGAAAGTTATACTCCTAAAGTTTTTGTCACCTGGAAAAATTACAATAGAAGAATCTATATGGCAGGACAGTCCATAATCATTCAAAATTATGGTTGTGAACAGTTGTTAATGGTATTGCAAATGCCAGGGGAAGATGGGTCAGAAAAAGAGATTAGGCTATACAAACAAACGTGAAAGAAGACATACAAATGGCCAATGAGCACATGAAAAGATGCTCACCATCACAAACCATTAGGAAAATGCAAATCAAAACCACACTGATCTGCATGGGGGAACAAAAATACTAATAAAAACTAAAAAAGCAAAACCAAAAAAAAACAAACAAACCACATTGAGATACCAGTTCACACCCATTAGGATGGCCATTATGAAAAATAAAAAGATAAAATAACAAGTGTTCACAAGGTGTGGAGAAATTGGAGCACTTGGGCACTGTTGGTGGGATGTAAAATGGTATGGCCACTGTGGAAAACAGTAAGATGATTTCTCAAAAAATTAAATGTAAAATTACCATGTGGTCCAGTAATTCTACTACTGTGTATATACACCAAAGAAATAAAAGCAAGGGTCAAATATGTATTCAGACACAGCTGTTCATAGCAGTATTATTCACAATAGGCCAAAGACAGAAACAACCCCAAAGTCCGTCAGTGGATGACTGGATAAACAAAAGGTGGGATATACTATACATACAACAGGTTATTCATTCAGCCTTAGAGAGAAATGAAACTCCCAGGCATGCTACAACATGGATGAACCTTAAAAACATTATGCTAAGTGAAATAAGCCAAGACACAAAAGAAAAATACTGCATATGAGGTACCTAACATACTCATATAATAGAGACAGAAGGTAGAATAGTGGTTCCCAGGGGCTGGTGTAGAGGGTTAGGAATAGGGCCCTATTGTTTAATGGATACAGAGTTTCAGTTTGGGATAATGAAAAAGTTCTGGAGATGGATATTGATGACTCCCCAACAATTTGAACACACTTAATGCCACTGAATTGTACACTTACAAATGGTTAAAATGGTACATTTTCATGCACTTTACCACAATAAAAAAGTAAAAGTATGAACCAGTCAGAAAAAACTGTATTTTTTAAAAAAGGAATTGGGTATTTTAACAATAAAAAAACCTTCTTTTTCTTAAATCTAAAAACGAAAATATATGATCCCAGCTAATCGTCACTAAAATTTCTTTACTAAACAACTTCCCTTAGGAGGCAAGTACAGGAGAGTAAAATCAGTAGCCTGAATATAGGATATTTCTTACAAAATACTGTAATTAACTTGAGCAAAGAGTAGGAAACAGAGTAACTACATTTAGAACATGCTTGATATACAGTATTTTTCAGTTCAGTTTATATTTTATTTGTATGGTGCAATAAATTAAAATTTTATGGGTTTGGTTTGTGAACTGGCCATAGAATGATTTCATACCTAAGAATTACTAACATTTAAGTGACGCACCAGAGAGCCGAAGGCAGTTCACTGCATGTCAACAGTGGCTATCCATGCAGAGATGGGGTTTCTTCTTCCTGCAGTCCATGTGTTCCAAAATGTTTCACAACGCATATGGATTAATTTTATATTCATTAATTTTTTTAAAAAACTTAAGTTATCCAGGGTTATTCACACTAAGCAAAGAATAATACCGTAAATACCATGATTTAAGGCCTGAAGAACACAACCCCATCAATTTCATATGTCCAAATCCTTCTCAATCTTTGAGGTACAGCTCAAATGACTTATTTGACTATACATGGAAAAATAAACCTTTCCTTCTCTCAAATTCCATAACATTCTATAATTCCCTTACTGCACCTAACACTAAGCAATGATTATTAATTATTTATACACATTTGGCCCTCTTTATTCATGGGTTCCGCATCTGTGGATTCAACCACCCTCAGACTGAAAATATTTAGGGGAAAAAAATTGTATCTGTATTGAACATGTACAGACTTTTTTCATTATTCCCTAAAAAGTACAGTAAAACAATTATTAACACAGCATTTACATGGTGTACAGTAAACTGCATTAGATTTCTATTTGGAAAAACCTGACCATTCCAATTCAAGAAGAAAAAATCTCCAGAGAGGCCTGCGTATGACTTAACTTTTGTATTAAGGATCCCATCATATACAAAAATTGTCTACACACAGTATTTCTGGAGTGTTCACTTTCACTAATTTTACTGTTCAGTTCTTAGGCATTTTAAGATAGGAAATGGAATTGGACTGCAATTTATAACACCAAATCTACAAAAATAAAGAATCTGTTGTACTATAAGATACATATTTGGTCTTCTTCCAGTTTCCTGACATACAGCTCCTGCAACCCATGGGATCTCTGGAGTGATTACTTTTTTGTATACTAATGAAATGGTTGGTAGCTGGGCACCCCTAGATAGTTTCAGGATGGGAGCTAGTTGCCAGGGGAACCTACCAGGTTGGAACTTTGAGTACCCTCTACCCTCCTAGGGTCGTTGAAGGTTGAGTTGGTTACCAATAGCCAATGATATAATAAATCATGCCTAAGTGATAAAGCTTCCACAAAAATCTAAAATGACAGGGTTTGGAAGAACTTCCATGCAGCCAAAAACATGGAGGCTCTTGGAGGATGGTACACCCAGAGAGGGCAAAGAAACACCATATCCCTTCCCATATGCCTGGCCCTATGCATGTCTTCCATCTATTTGGTTGTTCATCTGTATTCTCTGTAATATCCCATAATAAACCAGTAAACCTAAGTGTTTCCCTGAGTTCTGTGAGCTGCTCTAGCAAATTAACTGAACCCAAGGAAGGGGTCATGGGAATCCTCATTTACAGCCAGTCAGTCAGAAGCACAGGTAAAACAACCAGGGCCTTAGGAATGGCTTCTGAAGTCAGGAGCGGTCTTGAGGCGCTGAGCTCTCAATCTGTGGGATCTTAGGCTACCTCCAGGTACACAGTGTCAGAACTGAACAGAATTAGATGATATCCAGCTGCTGTCTGCTGAAGAATCTGTAGGATTACTTGGTGGAGAGATATTTCCACACATTTTGATGAACAGAGGTCACAGACGTATTCTGCACTGTGAGAATATAACAGGAGAAACTGAATTTCTTTGTACTCCGAGAACCAAATGACAATAGTTTAATACATGAATCAAGAATCAATTTTCCGGCCAGGCACAGTGGTTCATGCCTGTAATACCAGCACTTTGGGAGGCCGAGGCGGGTGGATCACTTGAGGCCAGGAGTTCAAGACCAGCCTGGCCAATATGGTGAAACGCCGTCTCTACTAAAAATATTTAAATTAGCCAGGCATGGTGGTGCACACCTATAATCGCTGCTACTCCAGAGGCTGAGGGAGGAGAAACGCTTGAACCCGAAAGGTGGAGGTTGCAATGAGCTGAGATCACACCACTGCACTCCAGCCTGGGTGACACTGCGAGACTCCATCTCAATTTTCTTAGAGGCATGGGGTCACTTGCATGGTAAATCAAAATAGCCTTCCCTGGTTCTTCATCTGAAAATACCAACAGTTCCTGGAAGTAGAGTCCATTCCTACATCACTGTGCATGAAGTAGCAACTGAAACAAGACTCGGTTTAGAAATGCATGCTTAGTTTTTACCAACACAAGATTTGATAATCTTGAAAATAAGTACTTTTCCTATTATCCATCCAATATATAATATTGTTCATTATGTAAATTATTTGCAAGCCTACATATGGAAATACTATATTTCATTTTAAGCCACATAATTCAAATCCTTATACTAGCTTATTATTATGGGAGATGGATTTAA